TATATATCCCCCTAATGATTTTCCTCTTTTTTGTGTGTGTGTGGCTGCAGCGCGGGGCAGCTGTGCATAGCCACCAAAGAGGAGAGGGGGGGGGAGTAGTTTGGGCTTCAGTGGGCCAAGGCAAGGAAAAAAAAGGTCTCCTCGTGATAATTAAATCTTCTCACACTGATTTTCTGCCAAATTTATTTCCCCTGGGACCATAGCTCTGATTCAGTGCTTACAAGCCTTGCATAACTAATCATTTCAACGTGGGGGGAACCACAAACCTGAATGAATTGGGCGGAGAGAGGAGAAAATAAAGAAGAGAGATGGCCAGACCAAATGTGTGCCCCCATTCATCTCTAAATCAATCATTATTTAGGCAGGACAATAAGGACCGTTCTTCAGTGAGATTCTGTTTGAAATAGACCTTTAAAGTGAAGGTGTAATTGATGGTGCAACGTGCTCTCTTTTACACTTTCTCTGCAGAGCTATACGAGCCCAAAGCATCCTTTAATTCCTGGAACAAATAGAAACAATAAAGCCAATGAAGTGGCGGTTCAATATTCCTCTGACTGTTCCTGGCATGATTGTGTTGAACATAATAACAAAACAAAAAAGGCCATTTATCTGAAGTAACGACAGGCGATGGGTCTAACTCCGCTAATCAATACCAAATCAATACAAACCAGATTTTCTTACATCAAAATCACTGAGACGGATCTTTCCTCAGCACACAGTGCACAAGAGCAATCCAGTGGCTCCCTCGAGCCCGGGAGGGGGGGGTGTATCATATAGCTGGTGAAAATAATACAGCTTAAAAATAAAAAACTACACAATGCTTTGCCCTGAGAGAGGATGCTGGGAACAATAATTATAGCTTAGTATAATTCACACACTCTCCTTATTAAATCCTCATGTTTTACTTAATGTGATGAGATCATAGACACCGGATCAGTCGTGTTTACCAGCGGATGAATTTCCCCGCTTGTCCTTCAAGTGGCAGTCCGGGCAGCGGCGATGCCGCTCGGCGAGGTAGCGTGGCACGCCACGCCATGGCCCCGGTAATTAAAACATTTAAAGCAGCGCCAGCCCCCCCCGGTGCTCCCGGGGTGTGATATGGGGGTCACGCGCCTGTAGATTCTAATTTGCGCACCATTTGTATTCATGACAGGTGCGCGCTAAATATTTAACAGCAGCCCGGCAGGAGTTTTGTATTGTTAGGCTTTCCAGGTCAAATAATTTGATTTCAAGGCAGATTACATTAAGCGTCAATGTCCAAGCCACTACTCTCACTTGCCTCTCATTTCCTGTCTTTTATTACAACCCAGAAAGGCCACAACTGAAGGGATATGGCTGTGGGTAATACAAGAGCTTGTTATCCGCGGATTAGTTATTATTTTCAATTAAAAAAGGGATCACATCGTTTATTATGGACGCACGCGCGCGCCCACAAAGATGCATGCAGACACTTGCATGCGGGGCGGAAATTTTAGCTGACTGAATGTTTAGTGGAGCATGTAATCGCTGGTAACAGGAGAAATATCGTTTCAAACAAACGACGGCGCGAGCACGTGCACCCTTCACGATATACTTTCATTGGTATCGATTCGACTGAGGTCTCCTACAGTCGGCGGGGACATGTTTCCGCTCCTTTTCTGTATGTTGAACAAGAAGGCCGAGAAACCAAATACAGACATTTTCTGTTTTTTTCTGCCGGGGCCCTGAGGTGATTGACAACAGAGCTAGTTAAACGGCGATGAGGCGTTAATGGATGCTAGGTCGAGGAAGTGAAGGGGTGGGGGGGGGGGGGGGGGGGGGGGGTCTTCCGCCTAAATATTTAATGGTCATATAATTCCTGAACACAGACACACACAGACAGGTACACACCCAACCTGTGACCTGTCCTACACACCGCGTAATTAGGGAAACAGTCCTTTCGTTTAACTGCCAAAAGAGCACACGGTAGGTATATATCCCCCTAATGATATGGGTTAAAGAGCTATTATACGTCTCATTAAAATATATGATCTCTCAATCTGCTGGCGGTTTGAGGTAATGGGGAAAGTGCAGAATAAGGTCTAAAATAGCGTCTACAGGCAAGTGTCCGATCCGTATCTACATAATTCTGTGTGCTGGAGAGCGGCTGCAGGAGTGAATAGATGTTTCTGTATGCGGCCCGCCAACCACACACCCACGAGTGTGAGGAGGGGAACGGGGGGAGGGGGGTCATCGAGCATTTGACACTAATTTTCAAGTCAACTGCTTGACGCGTTACCTTTTTATTTAACTCTGATGGACATTGAGAGAATACGTTTCAAGAAAAGCAGGGGGAATTGATATGAGATCTTCACAAAGCCTTCAACACACGGAGCAGACCCCTTACGCTGGAACATGCCATTGGTTTAACATTAGAGAGGAGGGTGTGATGGAGACGTCGCTTTTCCTCATCATGTTTGAAATCCGCTCTCTTTATATCTGGGCTTTTTTTTTTTGTCACCACTTTTGGTTTGCTTCGTCGACCGTTCAGCGCGGTTACCATCCGATCTCTCGATATTGTGCATCTTCAATCACAACACATGCAGCTCTTTTTTATTTGTGATTCATACATTTGTGAATGAAGAGAAAATTGATTAGTTGATGATTGATAATCAATACTTATGTTTTGTCTTGTGTTCATGTAGAGAAGCCAAACATTCGGTGGCTCCAGCATCATTGTAATGATTTTGAGGATTTGAATTTACTCCTTGGATCTGATCTATAATGAAACACACAGCAGGTTCTCCTGACACATGGTGATATTGTCCACAAGAAAACAGAGTGACGGATTAAATATTTGGTCAGTAATTTGCTATTTGCGGTTTACCTTACTACAGTACCCCCACACACAGTAACTCTGGTGATACGTTGCCTTCAGTTAAGTGCCAGGAGTCAGTACACTCCACGCAAACTGACTGCTGTACACACGCAGTCGGTCCGTCTTATTATAGCTGGACACACTATGTTAGCTGAAAGCCTCCTGGGCACACAAGCAACATATCTCAGCTTTAATAGCCTAAACAAGGCCTGCTACTAACAAAGGCACCAACCTCCCCTCTCATTCTCACACCCTTTCATATTACTTGTTTCCTTTTGCAACCACTAGCATCATCTGGCTGCCCTTAACCGGGGAGCCAAACACTCTTTTTAAGTGGAAACTACTTTGTTAACTGATGACCACAGGGTCAGTTATTGATCCTCTCCTTTCTTTCTCTCGGTAAACCCTGCTGATAAAACCCCCACTATTCTCGCAGGGCTTTGCAGAATGCAGCCACAGCTCGCTACAATAATAGATTGCATATCATAGCATTCACATGAATCAGTTCTCGGAGGTTCGATTACGGCTAAACTAACTCAAACGCGTTGCCAGTGAAGGACGTGGGTCTATTTATGAACGAGGAGTGTAGGTGGTGGTGTTCTTCACTTCCCCCCTCCATCCTCTTTAGAGCGTTTTCTCATTTCAGTTGACTTAGCGGTTCAAGTGTAAACTTTCTAGTTGCGCTGACCTCTGAGAGGCCCTGCGGGGAATAAGGAGACCCCCGGTGATCTGCTGTTTAGCAGCAGCAGTGGCCCTCCTCCTCCTCCGTTTTAGTCGTGCTTGGAGGAAGGGCAGAAGAGGGTGGAGCTGGCGCGCTCCGCTTGTGTCTATGTGTGTAGATGTAGCCGTTGTGCGTCTTTGTAAATCGGGCCACTGGCATCTCTTGCGACCAAGGCAATGGCGAGTCACTTTGGGGGAGCCCCTCAGATCCCCCTTCTTGTGTCCCCCATATGCAGGCAAAGGAATAAGATGATGCACGGGATGCTGCATCGCACCACTGCACCACACTTGAGCACAACAACTCGCTTCACGCAGAACGAACCATTGGAGTGAGGGAGCTTTGAGCAAAAGAGTCAGATGAAACGGAGCAACGGCGCAGAGTGGACTTAAGAGAGTGGTTGGATAGTGAGACTCGCTCTCCTCCCACAAGCGAGGCCATAGGCGCCACTTCGGCAAAGCGGGAGAAAGGGAAAGAGTAGGAAAGACACAGAGGAGGGCGGGGAGCATGTGGAAATTTCTTATGAGGACTCGTGGAGTTGAGAAAAAAATTGATTATGTTAGACAGAATGAAGAAGGAGAAAACAGATGTACAGGGCATTAAGACTTAGAAAAGGGAATACCTTGAATGTGATTATTCAGAGGCTGAAAACAGGAAAAAGGAAAGAAACCAAAAGTAATCTAGATAGAAGGAGGGTATGAATTCTTCCCAGAACTGGGGAACCAAAGCGAGAGTGCAAGGCTAATTAGTTTCTGATGGCTGGACCTTCATTTGGCTAAAAGGTCAGCTAACCTTAAAGGTTACACTGCCATCGCTGCTCGATGGACACAAAACAAATACACAAAAAGGGTGGAGAGAGAATCCGGCGGTATAAAAACACACAAACTAAAACAAATTATTACACACACACTGTGTGTGTATAAAAAAATAAAATACTAATATGTATGTACATGACCTTGCATAGAGATAACAATCGTTGTGTATGTGTCTGCATCTATCCATTGGCAGGGTAGATTTACGTCCTGTAAAGTTAAGCAGATTTCCGCCTGTGCTTTTTTATGTAGATCACAGCTGTCTTCATAAAAACTACGGAGTTTAATTTTTTGAGTTGTTTTTTTTTAAAGTATCAATGAAGTGCGAACAAAGATTTCTCGTTTACAGGTCAAGGTGGCGTACGCTCATCTGGCTCAATGCGTAAACATATTCAGTATTTTTGAGTCTGTTGAACACCTGACACAAGAAGCGGCAGCGTGGTAAAAGACAACATTTGTTGTTGTTGCACTCATGTTGACACTAACGGCATGGGAGCTATCAAACTGGATTATTGCACGTAACGAGATTTCTTTTTGTTTAAACCCCCTCGTCAATTTATTTAAGATGGACGTTTCCCAACGGATGTTTTATTGCCGAAAACAACTTTTTCTTTTCATAAATACAGTAACTCACCATCCTCTAGTTTCATGCGGGCCTCCTCCTCCCTCTTGGCTACTTTGGCCTTCAGCACCTCGTCCGTCTTAGCTAAAGAAAAAAGAAGAAAGAAAGACGGCAGCGTTAGAAGAAGAAGAACTTTGGAAACATTTTTTATTTTAAACCTTTATTTAACCATTAAGATTGAAACTCTGGCAAAACAGACGGCAACATAGAAATACAAACAGAAAACTCTGAATAAGACAATTTAAAAGAAACGGAAAGTTTAGGAGGCATTGACTTTTTTTGGAACCAGCCTCCATCATTTTAGGTTTAAAAGCGTGGAACCAAGTGGATACAGCTATTAAGTCATTCCTTATTAGTTATGAACCATGATTACATATCTGCACTTGAATATAAAATAAAAACAAATAAATCCAAATGCTATATTTCAATTTGATGTTCCCACATGTGTGCACGAAGCAAGGATGCTGTTTCTGCGGTGGAACTCGTGCTTTGATACTCAAACAACAATTCAGAAAACGCCAGAGAATCATTGGATCAACGGTAAACGTACAAATCAGCAAAAATATGAATCATGCCTTCTCATCCTGTCCTACCAGGCGGCCTCCTTCTCTGCTTTCCCTTCATGCCCCTGTAAAAGTCAGCGAGTCTTCCTGAGAGGTGTTTATCGTCTCGGCATAATGAAAAGCTTAAGAGAAAGTGAGGCTGCGGGAGTAAACACTCGTCAGGGCATTTTAAGCATCTCTCCTCGTGAGCCGCGTCGTCTCGGCTCCCTTTTCCTCCGCCTTTCCCCCTGAATAATCAAGATGTTAAGCCACATTAAAAAATATAATGCCGTGTATGGCAGGACTATCAATACCGCCTCTAAATTAATTACATTTCCGTTGCGGCGCATCATTTATTTTGCAGCGTTAAGGCCTCGGCGGAGCCATTCGCCTTTATTGCTATCTCACTTGGTTGATGAGTAAGCTATGTAAAATTGAGTCTCCAATATCATTACACTTAATGAGTTTAAACTTTGGGAGAGGAAAAAAAGAAAAAAGAAAAACGACACAGTAGAATGACAGCGAGAGGAAGGGGGAGGAGGAGAATGAGAACACTGCGCTGTTTTGGGGAAGTTAATGCGATATAAAAGTGGGTGTTTGTGAGCGCTTACACAATGTTTGTGTTCAGGCGCAGCTGTGGGTGTCCGAGTGCGGCTTATTGCACCGAAAGAGATGACTGCATGTGTGTTTTGTGTGCACTCCCGGTTGTGTGTCTGATTGTGTTTTTGGACTTTGAGTCCCTATCAAATATGTTACATAGAAACACGACACGTACATCATGTCTGTGTGTCTGTGTGTGTCTGTGTGTGTCTGTGTGCGTCTGTGTGCGTGTTTGGATGCAGAAGGCCACGGGTCCTGCTCGTCTCTCTGTGACGGCTCTGCTGTTTTTGTTCGGTAATTGGCGTAGACAAAGAACCGTCATGCTGCTGTTACGGCTGCTTAAATCTGGAGGTTACGCATCTTTACTAACAATGACTCTACATGGATGGCTGAACCTTCCTCTACCTCCCTCAGCTGTGTGTGTGTGTGTGTGTGTGTGTGTTTTTGTGCAGGAGCATACCTAACCAAAAGTGCCCTAGTCAATCAATCCCTCTTAGTTAACACCAGCCTAATGTAGTATGTAGCAAAAACTACAGGCTGCACCATCCTTGCATGTCGATGCAACTACATTCACTTTTCTTGTTTGTATGCACAGATGTGGATTTTGTGTGTACACCTGTGTGTGTGTGCGCATGTTGGGGGGGGTCTGTGTGTGTGTGTGAGTGAGTGAACTCCTCTCTGTGATCTCCAGTTCCCTCTTAGCTGGGGGCTACCGAGAGGCAGGTAGGAGACGGGGCGGTATTGGTGGTGAAATGGAGCTGGGAGGGAGACGGGGGGGTGGGGGGGTGGGGGGGCGCAGATAGATGGAAGCCATGTAGCAAAAGAGGAAGAACTGACGAGCAAGGGGAACAAAAAATAACAAGACGAAATAGGAGGAAAAAGCCTTGCCTGCCATGCACACAAACAACAGGAGTGATTTGTCGCCTCTTTTTGTTTGCATGTTTATCCTCCAACCTTGATCACTCCATTGCACCCCCCCCCCCCCCCAACAGGTTCTCTCATCCTCTCGCGCTCTCTTCTCTCCTTCTGTTTTGCCCTCTCCCACCCATCTCCATTTTTCCTTTTTTTTGGTTGTTGTTGTAATGCTTTCTCTTCCTTCTCTTGCTCATCTCTCTAGTACACTGTGCCTCGGGGCGATAGCAGCAAATCAAACTGTTTATCCATCTCTCATCAGTGCGCTGCCTCACGGGGCTCCTGCCCCCTCAAAACAATGAAAGTAGGCCTGAGCACTGAGCCAGGGATACGATTTAATTACATCAATAAAGAGCTCTGCTAAAAAAGAAAGAAAAAGGATAAGCTACGAAATAATGCATTACAGCAACATACTTTGCTACACCATCATGAATAGTCTGTTAACATTGCAGTTGCGTGTACAAAGAATTAAGCTCCACAGCTGTGGCCATCTAGAAACATCCGCGTGAAGACGCCGCTTATTGGAAGTATTTTTCTTGGCAACTTAGTGGCTCCAGTTCATTGTGGGATAATTCTTTGATGGACTTTTATTAAAGCGGGTAATAAACGGCCGGGTGTCGGGGAGAGGAGAGCCCTTTCACTTCATTTGCACTTCGTTCAGTCCTGGCTGCAGGGGCGGAAGGGAAAGAGGAGAGACGGCGGCGAGCCGCGGTGAAATCGCATCGTGATTATGAGTGTAATTGCAGCTAAGGGGCCCAGGGGCGATGTAGCTCTGATGGCGCTAGAAGATGTTTTATGCACAGCAACAGCGAGCGAAGAAAGTGAGGACGAGGAAGAGTGGGAGCGAGCGGCAGGCTGCCAGAATGTTTGCAATTCTTTTTTTCTTTACAGAATCTCCCTCCCTTCTCCTCCTCGCTCGCCTTTCCCTCCTCTTCCCTTGGCAGGATTAGCTGGGTCTCGTTAGAGGGGAAATGTAATAATGCTCCCACCAGGTGGAATCGGGCCCCGCTCCATTATCAGCCGTGAGATGGATGGGCCATGTAGGGCCGGCGGGGGCCACGCGTGCACGCAATTTAGATTCAATAAACTGGCAAAGCAAGACCCCCAATCTGATTTATCTCTTACACGCCGCCAATGCTTGCTGCTACGATGCTGATTCCCTATTACCACTCAGAGAAGGACTATTCATTGGACGCAAGGCGCGGCAGTACGAGAGGCTTGTCGGGCCCCCGGGATGCCAGCAAAACAGATACAGCAGTGGGTTAATACGTTTACACACAGATAAGCAATTAAATCTAACGCTGAGGTGAGTTATAGAGTTATTAGGGAGGGGTAGGGGGTGAGAAAAAGGAGAAGGAGGGAGATGTTTTTTTAGCACGGCAGCGTGGTAGCTTGGGCCTTAGGCCGGGTACAGTAGGCATTACAAGTCAGAAAGGCTACCGTATTATAGAGGTCATGAGGTGAGAGAAACAAGAGAGCAGCAGCATCCTGCCCACGTTTCTCAATAAACTCAACGCAACAGTTACAAACTAGCGATGCCGAAGACGCAGAGGTCAAAACAACAGTTATCCACTTAGTCTGTGAGCGTTCGTGCAAGTTTAGGAGCGAGGCATATCGACGCCAGTGCACGTCTTTGAGTCCAAACGTAAGCGGGTGTGTGTTGGTGTTCGTTCCCGGGTGCGGCCGCCAATCACAGTGGATCCGCACGTCGGCGGGAGAGGAGGAGGCGGGATAAATCAGCCGCTCGCCCGGCGAAAAACAGAGTATCAGAGGCAGCGGCGTTGGAAAAAGGTCCCCTCCAATCAGCCGAGCACTTTACAGACGTAAAGAAGCCCGCAGGCCGGTCCTTTCCGAACGACACCCAACAACAGAGAGACAGATAGGACAAAGGAACGTGAGAGAGGACGGACACTAACGGACGTCCAAACAGCTCTGGCGGGTAAGAGGACACGGCGGGCATGAAGGTGGGAAGACAGGCGGAAAACTGCTGGACAGACAGATTTACTACCAAACGTATACAACGCCAATTTCCTTCTGTGAGGGAATAAAATGCTCGAAGGAAACATCAACGTCTGTTGCTTGGCTAGAAATCATGGCTAACTCAGTCCAACATGCAGGGCTGACAGCACGAGTCCATCCAGGTACGACGAGTGCAAAGTCACAACCGAACACCACTCAATGTGGCTGGTGCCGCGTGGTGCGAAGGCTTCAAACGGCTCAAACAGATAACAGGCCTGTGACAAAGACCTGCCGCAGAAGAATTAACAAGCTGGTAACCTTTTTATTTGACAACCCAAAGATTCAGTGTAAGGCAAACGTTGATTTCTGGATCAAAGCTGATTCATGAACCAAAATAATTTAAGGTAACTGCAGCAGTTTGCATGTGAATGTGATTTCTATTCAAATATCTCTTGGTTCTCGAGGACCAGAAATAAAGAACAGATACACAGCAACTCCACCAATGGGAAAGACTTCAAAATATATATATTTTTTGGCTGTCATGGAAGGATAAACAAACGGGTTTCTACCAACAAAGCTCATTGTACGTTCTGGATGAAATAGGTCAGCAGATTTGACACAGAAATCAGGGACGAAGTTCAGCTGAACTTGTATTTCAAACTTCATAAATGGTACAACACGAAATAAATGAGTTAGATGCTACGCAATAATTACCACTGCATCATTATAAACCAAGAACACCTCCTCGTCTGACCTGACCAGAGGGTATTAACATTAATACAGTAATTAAAGAAAAAGCTTCAGCTTCTTCAGGTGAAAATCATTTGAACCATGAGCGAAAACCCACAGAATGATCTGACACGGTTAAACAAATCCTGTGCAGAAGCATCACTCGGAGCGACCACTAGGTGGCACAGCACGCAGACAACACCAGCGGGAGGCTGCAGCCGAGGCCCCAGTTTACTAAATACAGGTGCCTGTGTGTTTGTACCGGGTCGTCCATCCAAACCAGCTCATGCAGACCGTGTGGTTATAAAGTATAACTTGACACAGGTCAAAGCAGACATTTTT